GTATTTCATTTCCAGTAACACTTGGACAAATGGAGCAGGTGAACCAAATATAGAACAGTATTTGACATGCTGTATCTCTTACCAGAACAATTGAGCTAACTATTCCTTGTTGCAGAATTTGGGTGTAACAACTGTACATTCCTCCACAGGCATGTCTCCTTTTAGGCAGCTTTTGGCTATTACCCCTGTATTTTGTTTTTTGGGACCCCAGCTTTTGTTCTTTGTAACTTGGACTTCATACAAAGAGAGAGGCACTTATCTTACAGGAACAGTTATATTTGCCAAAATCTGCATACAAGTAGGCAACAGACACATATAAGCAAGTGTATCAAAATTGCAGGGCAGGGGATATTTGGTGTGGCTTTCCACTAATTTTTTTACTTTCAACCCATCCATCTATAAAAGCTGGACTCCAGTTTTTGACTTCTTTTGATACCTGTAAATTAAGTTAGTGGCCTTTAATTTGTCATTGCCAGCTTCTGTGGATTCGCCTGGTCTTCTTCCATCAGGCACTGCTTGCTCACGAGGAGCCCCCATGCCCCTTGCATTACAGAACTGTCCCTTTCTATTCTCCCCACATCCTGATGAACAGGAGAAAAGAATATGAAGTAGAATGTATTCTACAGATGTTTTGAATATCTTATTCACTACCCTGAATCTAAAAGGTCATGGGAAAGTACAACAGATGTCCACACTCCATATCTTGTACATTGGTTTCCTCTGAATTTTTTCCATTCAGTCCTTCCCTGTAATCTGCCACTACTATAAATGACGTGGTGGGGGGGGAGGAGAGGGGGGAAAGAGATTTTCCAGCTCTATCTGTGTGGCAAGTTTTCTTTAGTGACCTGGAATAAGGCAGAGTGGGAGGAGGCTGTCAAGCAAACAGGAGTAGGTGGGGGAGCAAGTCTATAGTTGGTTCCCATAGCAACTTTGCTATGTCATTTTTATGTGCAGAAGAAGAGAATAAATCTAATCAGGGAGTGGAAGAACACATAGCTAAACTTGAGGAAATGCAAAACTATCAAAAGATCTGGAAAGGAAGAGGCAGTGCAAAATAAACTCAGGAATAATGCTGCCTTGATTCTTTTTTGCTTTAAGAGGGGGCAGAAGAGATGCTATAAGCCTTTCAAAATTCTGTTGAATCACAGAATTCTTATGGTATCAATTTTGTGACTTGATTTGTCTTGAACAGCTGACCCCAAGATTGTAGAATAGCAATAGTACTTAGACTTATATACTGCTTTATAGTGCTTTATAGTCCTCTCTAAGCAGTTTAGAATCAGCAAGTTGTCCCCAACAATCTGGGTCCTCATTTTACCCACCTTGGAAGGATGGAAGGCTGAGTCAACCTTGAGCCTGGAGGGATTTGAACTGCCAAATTGCAGGCAGCCAGCAGTCAGCAGAATAGCCTGCAGTACTGCACCCTTAACCATTGCGCCTCAGAAGCTGGAGATTGAAAAGCAAACTGGGGTAATTGTGAACCACTTCTACATTCTTGCCAAGGAAACAGCACAGATACATTCATGCAGTGATCAGAAATAAACTTAATGTGGGAACTTTACCTATTACCTATGGATTCTCATCTCACACTACTTTAAGCATGAGCCAGGCAGAATCCACCTCCTAGATCTCAACCAATCTCCTTGTTCTCTACTATGAAAACATTTTTCTTATTAGCATGCTGTTACATCACAGATCATTGCAAGAGGTTACTTGTTTTCAGTCTTTATCATATTTCTCCATTGGCACACTCCCAGAGAACTCATGGCAGTTATTGGTCAAAGAAGCAATACTTAAGACACAAAGGTTTGTGCACAAAATGATACATTTATTGAAAGATTATTTTTTTAATACAAAAGAAAGCTCTGTACATAGTACTGCGATTACTGTCACATCCTTCCAGAAACACAACCCTGGAAATTAACAAACCACACACACAGCCACTCACACACACACATACACACGCGCATACATGCGCACGCACGTGCACACACACACACACACACACAAAATCCAAAAACAATCGGTAAAGTGAACTAAAAATGTCACCACACAATAAATGCCATTTCATCCCTGATAAGTGTTCTTACAATTCAACACTTTAATCACATGCAACATTAGCGTTTTAACCTGCAGGTGCTTTTTTTTTGTAGGAGGGAGAACTTCCTTGAGGGGAAGGATGAGTATCAAGTGTGGAATCCCCAATCAGAAAATTAGTACAGTATCATAAAAAATAGATAATTCTTAATTTTAGCCTCCTCTCTATTTAAGCAGGGTTTTTTTTTTTGAATTAGCAACATGATTCAAAAATTACTGTTTTGCAGGTGTGCCTTTATCCCAAGCAACTTCCTAGTAACAGCTGAAAAATTCCTTCTTGGAGGAAAAAATTCTCCATACAGAAACACAGCCATCACGGTATAGATAAAGTTCCATTTGCGTAGCAAATCCTTCAATACTCCATATCAGAATTGGGGGGGAAACAGGGGTTGAAGATTTATTCTGCTGCCGAAAGTTTTCATCGGTGGATAGACATCACTGAATATAAATCATTTTTTCCATTATTGCTGGCAATGAAAGAAGACAGTTAACCAAGCAATTTTTTGCCATAAGGTGTATCTGTTTTGGGCTAGAGGGCAAAGAGTAATCATTCAGCTGCCTTGACTGCCTTTCTTTCTCATGTCACTGATCTAATGAAGATGTTTAAAAATCTGCATCTTAACTAAAAAAGGAATGAGGGTTAAAACAAAGGGATAATTTTGTACCAGTCTTGGAAGCTTCACAACTGAAGTTAGTGCTGGAGAAGTAGCACTAAATTCAGACTGGTTGTAATATACATTTAAAGCAAAAAAACTTAATAAACCACTTCCTTTCAAACTGCAACTAGTTGGGGAACTATACTTTTCAATGTTTTCTGACATTTAACACAAAAACGAAAAAAAATTAAATGTAACCCATTAGGGAAGGTTTTAAACAAGTTACCCTAACTTTCTCTTTGAATCAGATTTGATGGAGCTTGGGCACATTTTCATAATGTGGCCATGTGAGCTGAAGATGCAAACGAAAGTTTGGCTTGATGGCCATCAGTTTGGCTTGATGGCCATCCTGGGATTTGTGTGGCATATTGATCTCTGCATCCCCAAGTGGAAGGGGCATGGCACCTTTTAGAAAGCAATGCAAGGTTTTTTAAGGTGGCAAATGGATGCCCTAAGCATACATAGGGATAAAGATCTCCACTTTGCCCCAAGACCAGACAAATGGACCCACGCATTGGTTCCATCTATTCTGAGTGTGACTCTGGCACTACAAAGGGAATGCTGATGCAGTTGCATGTGGCTGCCAGGTAGTATTTTTTGCACACCTAGCATAGCCCTCTCCTCCCCACTGGTGCAACCTTTTCACCAAAGCATGATTCAAGTGCTAGAGACAGAGACATGTTTAAACGCTAATGTTCATGGAAACAATTTCAGAGTATTACAATACAAATTAAAAAGGCCCCTTTCTTCTCCTTTTTTCCATCCCTTCCCCATGCCCCCCCCCCCCATTACAAACCCCATGAAAACTGTACAGGAGCCAGACTTTAATTCCTTTAAGAATTACATAAATACTGAGTTTAACACTTAGAAAAATAAAGTATTTTTTTTTTCAAGGCTTCTTTTGTCTTTTAATTAAAAAAAGAAAGAAAGGAGTTACAATAGCTGCTTTCTTTCTCTAAAAGTCTGCAGCCTCCTTAATCCAAAGCTGGCCCTTTGGGGGGACAGGGTGGGGGGGGCTCAAGGGGTTATAAGAACCACTGACCTGTTCTGGGCTGAATGAAATGCATGATTGTGTGCAAACAAATGATCCAATAACTCAGCCCTTTCTCTCTGTTTTGCATCTCTTTCCATTCTCCATTACAGACTAGCAATCCTGCAGCTTCCCCTTTTAAATGTGTTACAGTATTTGTTCATTCCAGAACCTCCTGTTTCAAGCATCATAAAATTTTTTTTTCTAAAGAACGTGGACACAGCAGTGGTTTCATAAAGAAATGGGAAGAACCTTTATCACAAATGCTCTATGGCAGGGGTGTCCAACCTTGGCCACTTTAAGACTTGTGGACTT